CCTACTATTAAGTAGGCACCTTATTTAATCCCTACAAGTAGTCTTTCAGGATGGTACTATTATTAAGTGCCTACTATTAAGTAGGCACCTTATTTAATCCCTACAAGTAGTCTTTCAGGATGACACTATTATTTATGAAGGGCACGCTGATGATGCTGGAGTTTGACTCTCAGGCTGAGAATTTCAGAATGCACAGCGCAGAAGTTCAGTCCTTGCCGATGCCATCTCAGCTGGCTACTTTCCCTTTGTTAAGGATATTTCTGTGGGTCCTTGAGTCAGGCTTCAGGGCAATTGCTTTCCTCCAAGAGGAGACAGTAACTCTGCCTAAGAAATGATCCCATTTCAGCAATTCCTGGGAGGCCATTGCTGTAATAAAGGCCATTCTTTATGATATAAAAGTCTCACCCTCTTCCCCCCGCCCCCATCCTTAGCGTTTCTAATTTGAGCCCCTCTGGTCCCTGTGGAGTCTTTAAATGCTTCAAGTGCAAGCCTATTGCCAAAGCAAGCCTGTCTGACTCGGGACGCAGCGCCCTGCGCTGTTGCCGAATATTGAACAAACATTCACGCGGCTTTGGCTCTCCCAGAAGCCCTTAGTCTGATGCCTTTGTTTTGTTTTCTGGATGAGGGCAAGCGGTACCATCACCTCCTGCCGAAAAGCCCTGGCTGCCCTCCCAACAAGGAGTTGTCACTTCAACTGAGGCTTTTTTTTTTTCTTTCTGGTGGCAACAAAATAATACCCAGCAGGAATTTGGGAGGAGAAAAAAGAGAGTTCAGTTGGCAGGTTCTCAAATGAATGGGTTGTAGTGTCATTGGAACTGAATTGGGCTTGAAACCAGACATGATCCTATTTTGGAAGCATTGTTCAGAGGGATGGGAAATGTGAACAGAGGATAAGTCTCTTCAAAAATGTTCTTTATCCTTGGCCTGTTAAAGACAGCCTGTTTTAACTAAACTCTCCCATCCCCTCAATGGCAAGGGCCTATGTGAGAACCTAGAGGAGGTCAGAGCGACTGGCAAATTGATCAGCTATTCATCTGTCAACCTTTCAACTGAGAGAGCTAATTTTACTTTGAGAAGAGCTTACCACTTGATTACAAGCCATCAATTAATTGTCAATCCTGAAATTCACAAATCTTCACTCTTGGACTCATCGATGCTTGGAGGAGGTGGCACAGGGATCAGGGTATATAAATATACATGTATTCAAATATATTATTGAAAATCGTATTGAAAGCCTACTGCATTCCAGGTAATACGTAAAGTGGATGGGAATCGGCAGAACTAACACTGTCTCTGCCCTCATGGATCTTATAGTCTGGAGACATTAACAGGTGACACATAGAACAGGATGCTGTGAGGATCTTTAGTGTGAAACCCTAATAGAGATTGGAGGTATGGGGATGGAGTTCAGGGAAGGCATTTCTGAGGACCAGAGTCCTGGCCCCTGAACTAAGATCTGAAGGGTGAGTGGGAGTGAGAGCCAAGAGAAGGCAGGGCCAGAGGGTGGGATGGGGAAAGCATTCTGTGCAGAGAGAAGAGCACGTGCCAAGACTGAGTGAGAAAGGACAGGGTGTAGCCGAGAAACAGAAAGGCCTGTGTAGCTGAAAGTAGGAGAATCGGGAGGAACAGGATGACAGATCAGACTGGAGAGGCAGACAGGTGGTCTCATTCGCATTTTACCTATGTGCCATGGTGAGGATTTTGGTCTTCATCCTAAGAGCAGTGATGTGCCATGCAAGAGTTTTAAGCAGGAGGAGAATGTAGAGTTTGCCTTTTGAAAAGATGACTTTAGCCACCGAGTGAAGTTGGATCAGAAGCAATTAGCTTTCGCGATGGTAGTATCTACAGAGGAACAATTAATGGAATGGCTAATGGTCTTCCCTGATGTAACTCTCCTCCAGATCATAACTTAGGTATGACACAATCTTTATGGAAAAGGATCGTTGTTAATAAATGCATGGGACTTAGAGGTAAATCCCTTTTTCCATTTAGGTCTCAGGTTCCTCACTTGTTAAGCCGTGGGTTTGGACCAGATGATACCAAAGTGCCCTCCTTTTGCAAAACAAGCCCTTAAATTCAGCTTGAGTTCTATACTGCTACTAGAATTCAGTTTTCAGCCTGGACTATGGGCTTTTAACCCCATTTTTTTGAAATGATAGATTGTTAAAAAAAAAAAAAGGATTTATTGGACAAAAGCAGACCAGCAAAGATCAATAGCTCATTTTGCTGTTAAATAGATAGATCTTTAACCCAATGTCTATGAATGTCCGTTTGATCAAGGGAATGCTTACTCCCAGCACCATGTTACATATTTTTCCCAATTAAATTATGGCAAGGTGCTATGAGGGATGAGGCATCTGTGTTCTAAAAAATGAGATAACACGAGTAGTTTAGTTTAAGTGATGAATTGGTTAACAGACAGCTGGGGTCATGTGCTGAAAGGATCACTAAGTCATCATGTGACCTTGGAAAGTCATTTTCCTTCTTTGGGACACAGTTTCCTCTCATTTTAAATGGGAGGGTTTTACCAGATTAGACTTTTCAAAGGTATGCTTTTCCAATAGTTTTCAAAAGATGTTTTATGGAGGAAAGGTGCCCCACTCTATTTTTTCTCCTTGGAGGTTAATAATCCAAGTGTATTGATGGTCTGTTGATTCCAAAGTTTTTCCTGTAACTAATCCATCATACTGCCACATTCCTGTGTAACCTCTCTCTGAAACTCAGTTTCCCCATCTATAGCAAGGGCTATAGAGCAGAGGTTTCCAAACGTTTTCTGTAAAGGGTCATATGGTAAATATTTTAGGCTTTGTGGGCCATACAGTCTTTGTTGCAACTACTCAATACTGGCATTTTAGCCACACACAATATTATAAACAAATGAGGGACTGTGTTCCAATAAAACTTTATTTACAAAAACAGGCAGAGGGCTGGATTTGACCCACAGACCATAGTTTAGTGAACTCTGGGTCACAGTGGGGGCTAACTGCTCTCTAATGTCCTCGCAGCTCTGACTTTCCCTGACCTTCTCCCCTGAAGAGTTATTCTCTCCCAAGTTGGAAGTCCCCCTTCTCCAAAATGTATCCCTCTGGCCTGCACTTCCAAAAGTCATCATCATCATCTTCTTTTGACATGTCTGTATATAAGACTGTCTCTGTCTCCCCAGCTGCTGAGATGCCTTCTTCACAGCTTTGTTTTGTTTATCTTAGTAACTACCCTTCTTTAATCCCTCTGAAGGATTGGTTAGCTGGAATTTGCCTTGTCTTCTTCCCCCAGAGCCTTTGATCTTGTGCTCATAAGTATTTGCTGACAGCCAGACAGAAAAGGTGGAGCCCAGATCCCAAGCCCGAGGGCCCAGAGAGTAATGAATGAAGACTGCGTTTATTTGTATTTCTAATTGGCAAGCCTATTTCCAGATCAGCTGCATGTCACTGCAAGCAGAGAGCAAAAGCAGGAGACAACCTTCTTTCTCCCAGGCCTCGGTGCCCAGGGCCCCTGTTTTCCACTGAGGCAGGAGCTTGCCCTGATTTCACCAGGCTTGGAAGAAAATGCCATCTGGACCAAGTTTTGTCCCTTAGTACAGGACCACCTTGTTTTGCCACTCAGACTGTACATTGCGCAACTTTGAGGACACCATTTACATCATCCGTGATGTAAATGGAACCCTCTGAGTTGTACAAACCACTTTTTCAAGCTTTGAGCCCTTTCTTCTTATGAAATCTTACATCGAAGGCCAGTCTATAAGAGATACAAGTGGAACAACTCTATCTGAAGCTGAGATGCAGGTTTAGAGACCTGCCTTCTCAGTCTCCCTCTTGCCTTCTTCAAGCAGCTGCTGAGATGGCTGTTGGGATCCCTAGAATTCCTCAGATGAATTTTGGAGCCTCTAGACTAGATCATAAATGTTGTTCTAACCATTCACAGCTATATAATCTCTCTCTTGATAAAGTCTCAAGTATATCCCTAGTACCATTCTAGGCACTGAATATTGAGGGGACAGGAGTGGGAGACATGGCCCCTGGTCTCCCTGAACTGATTTTATGGTTGGAGAGGTCAACAGAAAATGAGGTGAGAAAATGAACTTAACAAGATAGGGTCTTACATGCAGAAATACTTACCAGAGAAGAAGGGCTGGGGAAAGGAGGAAAGACTTCCTGAAGAGGGTCACATTGGAACGGAGCGCCGATGGGTGGTAAAGATTTGGGGGGGCAGAGGGGAAACGTAGGGCAGGGAGAGCAAAGGCACAGAGGTATGAAATGGCACTTGTAGGGATAAAGAAGAACAGCACAGAATGGGGCGTGCGTCCTTCATGCACATGACAGCACACTGAGGAAAAGAAATTTGAATAAGGGGACAGATGAGCACGGAAAGAAAGGGGAAATAATGCCTTCTCCAGACAGGTCCATCTCCTTCTATCTCATTTACCAGTCATAACTGTTCCAGTTGTTATTGTTAACCACACATTATACAATTAATCACTATAAGCTCCTGGACATTCAAAGACTTTCCCAAGGCAGCAGAGCTATTATCCAGCAGAAATGAGATTTAAACTGAAATTGACTTGACTCCAAAGCTTGTCTCTCACCCATTACAAAGAACTGCATGAAAAATATAGGACTGGAACAAGTTTTTGAAAAAAAGGTAGAATTTATAAAAAGTAACAGTAAACAAAAGAATTTCTTATTGGGAAAAATATGCTTGAGTATTTACATCTTACAAAGGTCCTTGAAGAATCCTCTAGTCCAACCTACTGACTTTAAATACAAAGAAAGTGAGGCCCAGAGAAAGCAAAGAGTTATTTAATATAAATGGTATAACAAGACACCATTCTGGTCTCTGAGCCCTCAGGTCAGTGCTCTTTCCAAAGCATCACGAAGGAACCACTCTATCATCTTTTTTCCCTTTCCAGTGGACAGCTGCCTCCTTAGCACATCGTAATGGGTTCAAGAGTCCGACCTTTTGAACAGTACTGAACAATACTGAACTTACATCTCTTCCTCCAGAGACCACGGAGTTGGGCAGCAAGAAGGAGCTCAAGTCCATGCCCTTCATCACCTACCTCTCAGGCCTGCTGACGGCCCAGATGCTGTCTGATGACCAGCTCATCTCAGGTGTGGAGATCCGCTGTGAGGAGAAAGGCCGCTGTCCATCTACCTGCCACCTTTGCCGCCGACCGGGCAAGGAGCAGCTGAGCCCCACACCGGTGCTCCTGGAAATCAACCGTGTGGTACCACTTTACACTCTCATTCAGGACAATGGCACCAAAGAGGTGAGGTCCCCTGACACAGCCACTGAGTCAAATCTAAGAACCAACCCTCCTACCTCCTGCCCTTGTGGGCCCTTTGTCCACTGGGATTGTCATCATCGTCATCAACAGCATGGTGAGGGCTAGCATTTATTGATCCCTTACCATGTTGTAAGCATGTATATAACTTGGTAACACTAGCTGCTGTAACTGGCAAATTCTCCAATCTCAATGGCTTAGTACAATTAAGGTTATTTCTTGTTGTGCAGAGTCCTAAATCGAAGTGTTTGATTGATGGGTGGCTTTACTCTGAGAAGTAGTTCAGGGTCCCAGCCTGTTCCATCTTGTGCTCCATTAATCTGATGCTTCCACGGCTGCTGTGGAAGAAGAAAGAACATGGAAGATTGCACATGAGAAGTTGAAATGGGCCGCGCCTGAAAATGGCAAATTATCATTTCATCTCCTATTCTGCTAAGCTAGAATTCAGCCACTGGGCACACCTGTCTGCAAATGAAGACAGGGAAATGTATTCTATCTGTTTGCCTAGGAGAAGAAGGTATGGGTTTGGTGAAAACCTAGCAGCCTCTGCCTCTGTACTATACTTGGGTTATCTCATTTAATTTACCCTCCAGATCTATGATTTACTTATAAATATTGAGTTGATTCATATGGAATTTCTGACATTTGACCATTTTTTATTTATAAAGATGGCAATTCCGTATGGTTCATCCTTTTCTCATGCCCACTTTACAAGTGAGGAAATGTAGGATGTTGAATGATTTGCTCCATGTTGGTCTGCTCCAGAGCCTACATGCTTAATCATGAAATTATATCTCCTCTTTTTCCTCTTTCTATCTCTGTGACTTTCAATTATAGCATGTCAGGGCTTGAGAGGACTGTATGAATGATTTAGTTCACTGGTTTGCACACTTGTGTTCATGGAACATTTTTTTCCAAATGTGGTGTTCAGGAACCCCAGTCCATAAAACCAGGAATAGTGATGCCACTGCTTCAGTAAGGAAGAAGGTAGATAAAGCATCTCCCCTTGGTCCCCACTCTTCCCTCTGCAACACCTTCTGGACAGCCCTGGGCCTCCAGAGAAGGCCATCTGGTAGACCACTGACCAATCCAATAGGATGCTATGGATTACGTGCCCCTCCCAAAGCATCCTCCTGGGCTGAGTAAGCACCAGTGCATGGTGAGTGGTCAGGGAGGGTTTCATAGAGGACAGATCAGGGATGAGAATAAGGAAGTGAGGAGAGTATCTTCAGGTAGAAGACCTGAGGCAGAAAAGTACATGGTCTCTACAAAGACCTATAGAAATTTCCCATGACTGAGACCAAGAGATGGAGGGAGAGCAGATATGAGGCCAGAGGGAACAGAAAGCACCTGATTATTTAGGATACTATAAGCTAGGTCCTGGAGTTGGGACACAATCTGGAGGGCAGTGACATGCTGAAGATACATGGTTAGCAGGAAGCTGATAGGGTTAGATTTGTGTGGCAGAAAGAGCCCTCTGGAAACAACCCAAATGACCATCGATGGGAGAGCAGTTGAATAAGGTGTCGAATATGCATACAGTGGAACACTGTACTACAGCCAAGATGAACGAACTATAGTGACACTTAACATGAGATGGATGAACATAATGTTAAATGAAGACAAGAAATCCCAAAGATACGGTTTATATAGCATGATACCCTTCCCTCTATTTTAAGTTAAAACAGACACACACGGCTTCCCTGGTGGCGCAGTGGTTGAGAGTCCGCCTGCCGATGCGGAAGACGCGGGTTTGTGCCCCGGTCCGGGAAGATCCCACATGCCGCGGACGGCTGGGCCCGTGAGCCATGGCCACTGAGCCTGCGCGTCCAGAGCCTGTGCTCCGCAACGGGAGAGGCCACAACAGTGAGAGGCCCGCGTACCGCAAAAACAAAACAAAACAAAAAGAAAACCACACACACACACACACACACACGCACATATCAAATACACGCCTTTTAAAAATAAATACAGATGCAATAGATAGTTTAAAAAAGGAATCAAGGAAATTATGAACATAGGATCATGGTAATCTTGAGTCAAGCGAGGCAGGTAATGGCGCGATGGAGCATTTGTTACACGATGGTAGTCAAGTTTCTAGCTGATGTTTGGGGGCTGGATTTGTGGGGTTTTATGAAAGTGCCAAAAGTAGCTAACCAGCTAACACTAACTGGATGAACACATAAAGCCTAACCACACATGGTGCAGCAGTGAGCTTGAGTCACGAGCCGTGCATCTCAAATCATCTAACTCTGTGCATCAGAGGTCCCCAGACCAACAACAGAAAAGCCAAGAGAGCCAAACGTGTATACATCTCCAAACCTGTGGTTTCAGGGTGAGAGTCAACTGTGGAAACATAAGAGTGGCAGCAGGGAGACCCCTGAGGAGGCTGTTGAAGCTTCCAGTAAATACCAAGGGTCGTCTGACCAGTGTCGTGTCAGTGCAGACAAAAAAAGCAGCACGTCGGTAGCTCTCCAGGGTTTGGTGAGAGAGGCTATGAATATCCCTATTTAGGGCTCTTTCTGGGCCACGCTTTCCTCATCTTTGAGGTGGTTCGATACTAGCTAAGTCACAGGACTTTTTTGTGTGTGTGTAATTTATTTTTATTTTTTATTTTTGGCTGTGTTTGGTCTTTGTTGCTGTGCGCGGGCTTTCTCTAGTTGCAGCCAGTGGAGGCTACTCTCTGTTGCACCGTGCGGGCTTCTCATTGCAGTTGCTTCTCTTGTTGTGGAGCATGGGCTCTAGGCACGTGGGCTTCAGTAGTTGTGGCTTGCGGGCTCTAGAGCACAGGCTCAGTAGTTGTGGTGCACGGGCTTAGTTGCTCTGTGGCATGTGGGATCTTTCTGAACCAGAGCTTGAACCCGTGTTCCCTGTACTGGCAGGCGGATTCTTAACCACTAGGAAGCCCCAAGTCACAGGACTTTCATGATGTGTTCTTGGCACGTGTGGTGGCAAGACAAGCGCTGGTTCCTTTCCTCTTTGCTTAGGAGTCAGGTTCCCCATGTCCAGATGCTATGCCAGCTTCCCTCAGCATCATCAGTTCTGGAAATGGGTCTTCCTGAGGCTGATTCACGTTCTCTCAGATACAAAAGCCCAGGAGTGTGAAAGCAGTCACTAGATGTCACTGTTCTCCTTATGTGGCATCTGCCGCTTTTGAAGCACGAGTCCTTCCTTCGTTAATTCAGTATTTTTGAGCACCCACTATTTGCCATGTATGGTGTCATGCCCCAGGAAGTGAAGAGTGGGACAGATGGACACAAATGGGCATGGTCTTTATCTTCATGGAGTTTACAGACTTGTGGGGAAGACAGATATTATTGAAACACTCCCACCAAATAAGTGAGAACAAACTGTGCTGAGTACCAAGAGAAGTCCAGGCCTTTGGGTTAAAATCGGGTGACCGAGGGCTTTGTGGGATGAAGGAAGGCTTCTTTAGGGAAATGAAATTGGAATTAGTTCTTGGGGGTCGGGTGCCTAAAGTGAAAGTAGAGGACTGGATTTGGGGGAGAGGAGGAACCTGAGAGCATTCCAGGTCAAAGGCCTAGCTCCTGCAGAGCCCTGAAGGATGTGCAAACGTGGCCCATTTCCCTGAGGCCGGGATGGGAGCTCCATGGGCAATGCCGAGGAGAGGCGGTGGCCAGGCTAGGCAGAGCTCTGAAGGCTCTGGTGGTGAGGAGTTTGGCCCCTGATAGCGGGGAGCATAGAGGCATTAGAGCAGACATGTGGGCGCTGTCTTCTCAGCTCCAAGCTCCTCTCCTCTAAGTTATACCTGCAAAGGAACCTTAGAGCTGCTTGACTAGTTTCTTCTCTCCCTCCCCAACCCCCAAGACAGTCTTGTTTAGAGTTTCACAGCAGCCTAGGGGCTGCTGTGCATTAGGCCTTTTCAAAGGAGCCAGGCTGTGGTAGGAGTGGGTAGGACAGGCCCAGTGCAGGTCTGGAAACGATCCTGGAGGAGGGGATCGTGGCCCCTGAGAGAGGCTGGTGTGATGAGAAAGCAGCCACTTTCACCTTGGCCATCATTTTTCCTCTGCCTCTTCCCCAAACCCCCATCACTTCTCCCAAGATTTCTCCATCTCTCTGCATTTCTTTGCAGTCAGAGGCAGGGGCCACATGGGTCAAACATAAAAGGGCCTTGGCCTGGACTCTGACACTAAGTCATAGCGAGGCTGGGGCAAGTCCTTTTTCCTCCCTGGGCCTCTCTTTTCCTACCTGAAAAAGCAGAGAGGTTGGGTGAGTTTCTTTCTGAGTTTCCTACAAGAGACTTTGTCAAAGTGGAATCAGATAGTGCAAGATCTGTGCTCCACTCAGGTTGAGTTGGGATCCTGCCTCAATCCCCTACTCCTGTGGTGTGCTGCTGAATGACCTCTCCAAACCTCAGTTTTTATGTCTATAAAATGGACTCTTGTGATCCCTACTTCATGGGGATCGGATGATAATGAATGTATAGTACCTGGCATGTAGCATGTAATGGGCTTATGTTTCCTATGATAATGATAAAAATAACGTTTGTCTAAACTGATTCCTTCCTTTTTCTGTGCTTCCTTTGGTATCTCCTCTTCTAGGTAGCACTCGATAACTTTGCAGATGCCCAAAGTGCTAGGGACATGATGTTCAGAGTAGGGTCTGCATTTTGTATGCAAGAGATTAAAAGGGCAGATCACAAATGGAAGGATTTCAGGAGCATTTTTCTCACTTTATCAATATTACTGGAACTTGTACTTTATAGGAAAGGATACCATAGGTGGAATTACACATGAGTAAAAGGATTTCCTTCTGTAGACCTTCCAACGCAGAATGGAACCATTCTTCTATGTGAGAACACCTGTCTCCTTGAGTTATTTGAGATGCTAAGTCAACTGCTGAGTCCCGTTATATGGCATGGTCAGGAAGTATCAGAGAGGGCCTGTGACTTGCCTGAGGTTTGTGGGGCTGTTCAGGCCTCTGATTCTGGGCAAGGGCCAGCGTGTGGTCTTCATAGCCTTGGG